AGAATTCATAATGGAAGTGCTGACACAGCCTTAACTACTATATAGCAGTGTGAATGGCGCCACTATAATATCTATTAGAGATTCTTTAAAAAGTTTGCAAAATATTGTCTTGCCTTGCAGAGAAAAAGAAGCCAGAGTACTTAATGCCAACATAAACATGCTTTTAACCCATTATGTGCTAATTTGCAGAAAAGCTATTAATTCTGAGTAGGCACACAGAGTGCAGCACCGACAGGAAATGTTCTTCTAAACTCCTGTTTGACTTGTAACATGGTTTTAATCACTTCCATGAAACACAAACGATGGCTTCAAACTCTGAATGTTGCTCAGAACATGAGAAGAGTGATTACAACAGAGAGGAAAACAGGATTTTGTTGGCAAAAGGGCTAAAGCCAACAGGGAGAGAACGACACCAACCGCTAAAAATGGGACTCCATTCCCTGTCAATTTGGGGACGACAGCTTCATTTGATTCACAGCATTTAATGCCAGTCATCAGCATGCCACTATTTTATCCGTCACAACACGTACTGCAGGTCAAGTTCACTTTCTATCAGGCAATGAGCATGCTTTCTTCTTCCTTGAACCCAGTCAAGTGTTAGCACCTCCCAAAGCTGGTTCTGCTAAAACAAGCTGTGCCTTGCTTTTATAGCCTGCAGTTTGTGTGTCTGAGACTAGTGCTAAACTAGCCCAGTTGATCTACCGTTCCCGGGGGGTCTGCTAGGCAGAGAAGGGGAACACTGCCCTGAGACTAAAATGCAACAAAGAAATAAAAATGTTGGCAGTGGCACTTGGTCAGCAAAGTACATAAAAGGCTAACTTGAAAACCCACGAAAAAGTGCAATAAATCAGTTCAGGAATGTATTTAGATTTTTTCTTCTTCTGTTCATGCAGGAGTTTGTGCTTTCTCCCCAGGTATAAGCACTAGCGTTACTTTTACATGGAAATAAATGGGGGCGGGATCAGCTGTAAGCTGAATACTAGAGGGACATTCAGCAACTCAGGACAGCGCATAAGTGCAGTGATACCGGTTTTTATGGCTTCCTGTTGTTATCAGTAAAAGAGATACTGTGTTAGGTCCAGTGACTGCTAAAGCCCATATGTGAGTTGATGCCACAGTTTTGGGAGGAAGGATAATTTTCAGGAAAAAGTAAGTTTTTCTGTGTTGCCATGTTTCTTGCTCATGTCTTCAGTTCTGCCTTTGCAGACTCTTGTGTGACTCCTGTTCCTGCTGTCACTGCTGCTGCTGCTGCTCCCCTCTGCCCACAGCAGCGGTGGCTGGGGGCGGTGGGAGAAGCAGAAGGATGAGGAGTGGGAGGAATGAGTTCCCCCCTCCGTGTTTCTACAAGGACCTAATGAGCAATGGACATCGCCAGACTTATGGCATCATTTCTATGAAGCTCTTAAGAAGGAAGAAAGATCAATTTAAAATCAAAACAGCATGGCTGGTACTGCAGCTCACTTCAGTATGTCAGGATAGCGAATATGGGCACTATACACCAGACTCAGGTTTTTGGACACTGATGTAAATCATGCCAGGCTCCCCTGCATGAGAAAGGAGCATCCACTGCTGTATTCACAGTTAACAATTTCATGGGCTTCTCTGTAAAATGACTCCATATTTTTCCCATAGTGAGATTACCTTGTGAAAAACAAAGCCACGGTCACAGAATCATCCTGATAATGATCTCCACAGCAAGAAGTGGCTTAGGCCCTACCTGAGGAAGTAAGTTACCTTTCAAGGGGGTAAACAGCGTTGTGAGCAGTCCCGGAGATACAGAGCTGGAGAAGAAACTCATTTCCTCTCACACTGGAGCTGCTGATATTTCAGCTCTTTTCCTCCACTCCACACAGGGGTGAGCATTGACTGCTCAAAGTGACACACCAGAATAGCCAGTACTCTAGTAAATTCCCAGATGAGGAAGACCAAATTTCACATCCCTCTTCTAATTACGGAAGCTAGAACGGGTCCAAGAGAAGCAAACAAGAGACACCCAGGATATCTACTGTGTCCAGTGCTGACATGCACCACTTCGACACGTGTCTCTTGTCTGCACCAGAAAGAAGTAGTAACCTGAATTTTTGTCTCTTGTAACCCTCGACAGTGTCTCACTCCAGAGAAATGGATAGAAGGGCTGGACCTGTCTGGCTTCAGCTTTGACCTTAAGTTCCCTGGGGGCAGCTCCTACAAAAATTTTGATTTTGACAGTCAACATTTTCCAGTGGAATGGTTTTCTGCTGGAAGATTCCTGACCACCACTAGGTTTAAGTTTGCCCCTCTCAAGCAGGCAGACAGTTACTGGCTCTAAGTACCTCTGAAGACCAACCAACTTTATGGAGCCGCTGGAATGCCTGGCATTCACATTTTAAATCTTTCATGTAAGCAGGCTATTTGAGCCAGAGGACAAGTAAGCACCAGTCCTGGAATCCAAGAATCTCTACTTTGTTCCCAAATTATGAGGACATGTTGCTTCTTCTAAACAGCCTAAGTCTTGTGCCTTTCACAAGCTTCTCAGACCTACCAGCTGGGTCGCTGGGATACAATTTTCTGCTTTTATGCCACTCGTGGTTCTGAATCAATAAAACTGGTGACTGTTTCAATTTCACAGTGTTCTCAATAATGGAAGCTACCTATGAGAATAACTACTTGCAGCATTCAGTCCTTTAAAGCTGTAACAAAATCCTTTTCATTTTTTTAAGTACCTTCTTTCACTTCCTGCTTCTGGTCTTGATTTTCCATCTCCAAGTCATTCTGTGCTTTTGGCTCCACCATCTCTTCATCATCTTCATCCTCTAAAAAAAAGGAAGAAAAAGATTTGTGGGATTCACCTCTTTAAGGGGGAGGGAAATAGTGTATCTTCTTTATGATTATAAACTGGTAGTAAACACAGGTAAAGCAAAGTGCACAATAAATGGAAATGTCTACATTTATACTCAAAGTGACACTCTCGGAAATTACCCCCAGACTGCAAGAAAATCTGCTAACACAGCGCACCTGCCACTTGTGCTCCCTGTGGCAACTTCCCATCTCAGATGTCAGCTGAATATCTCCCTGACCTCGGAGATGACTTCTTGGATGGCATAAGAACAGATGCAAACATGTTTCAGCCTGGCAGCTATTCCATGGTTAGGACACCTGCTATCCAGACACCTCATTTCCAATTCAATTCTCACCAGATTAATTTGTCTTTTGACCTACAGGAAGGGGTTAAATAGAAATCTGACCTCAGGTCAGATGCCACTAGCAAGCAAACAAGCATGGTACAGTTCTGAAAAGTCATCGCCATCAACTGGGGGAACACAGCAACCAAAAGTGGCATTTGGAGCTTAAGAACCATTCTTGCATTAATACGAATTTAATGAACACTAAAATTTGACACATGTCAGTTACTACTGCCAGATGTTTTAATGACCTTTTCTGACCTATGCAAATGCCTCTCTCCCGTCCCCTCTCTCCCCACACTCACATGTTCTCATTTTATTCAGGAGGGCAAACCATTCATTTCTTGATTTCTGTCTGAAGTTACAAGGGTTCTGATTGTCCAGACCAAAACATAATACAAGCAGAGCTGGAAAGACAGTGATGCACCAAAATGGCTCAAAGCCTACCTAACCCTCATTACTTGTTCCCAGCTACAGCAACGTGATTCATTCTCCAGTGCCCAGGGCCAGCACCCAACCCACTCCCACTCATGAGAGGGTAGGGACGCTCAGCCTTCTAGATTCAGTGAACTACGAAGACTGAAAATAGACCTGGTCCTAAAAGAGGGAGTTACAGTAATTAACAATTAGGATAAGCAAATCTGTGGGCCATGGAGGAATTATTCTGGAGTGATTCTGGAGCCTGATGCACCATCAAGGTATAGCAAGCACCACTGGTGCCCCGGGTCGGTCCATCGCATGAGAGAACGCATGTTGTCCCAGCCCTGGGGCATTCAGCCATCAGCAAAACCGCTGCAGTTCCTTTGGGGCTTTCTGAGCAATCTGCCTGTCACCACACGGTTCCTCACAACATGGTGCTTCTCCAGGCACACTCCCTGCTCTAACACTGCTGTGTTAACACGGCCTGGAAGCGGGCAGGGGGCAACACGTCACACTTCTCCAACTGCTCAGCTACTGGCACCTTCTCCTGCGAAGGCTGGCTGCAATCAGTCCTGGCTTCTTGGGGAGATGTTGGTGCTGACAGGTTGCATTCAGCCAGCAGTAACATGCAGCTGTATTTTGTTTTCAATAATGTAATAGGCACCATACTATTCCCACCACATTGCCTACCCTAGGATTTCTCCCCCCAGAAGCCCACAGAGTGCAAGTTGCTAGCTGACATTTTGGCTGGAGAGCATCGCTTAGCTACATACTGTAAGGAAGTGTCTCAGCATGGACAGATATGCTTTTCCCTCTTGGGAAAAAGAGGAAATCTTGGCATAAGATCTGCCATCGCTCCCCCTACTGCTAGCGACGGCTGCAAGGACAAGAGGGAAAGCTTGGCTCCCCAGTCGTCGGGGAGGAGGGATAATCATGTGCTCCCCAGGCTGGGAAGGGAGGAGGAATCCAGCATGGATGGGGAGGCATTTCAAGAATTAAAAGCACTACTAACTAATGCCACCCCTATATCAGGGATTTTTCAGACCAGGAGAGGAAACAGCCACTCAGAATGGGGTAAAGGTAGGGTATTCATGATGCCTCCCTTGGCAATTACATTTCCCTAGGTACCCTATATAGAAGGGCTATAGAGAAGAGCTTTTAGAGAGTAAGCCAGGACGTTTCAGTTGGGCAAGGTAAACACATTGCTCTGTCCACTGGCTGAAAGGTAGATAACATTCGATGCAGTCAGCAGAGAGTCACTGAGAAAAGCTCACTTGCTGTACACACATAGGAGGGGTAAAAAAAGGTCCTTCTGCCATCAGTCTGTGGAGCTAGCGGAGATGGGGATGTATGAAAGAGAGAGGCACTCCCAGTTTCAAAGAACAGATGAGACGTATGAGAAGAGAGAGGAGTGACCGGCACAGCAGGGAGTGAATACTCTGCTAACCTCAGGTACATATGCAGACACAGATAGGATCACAACGGTGTACAGATATATGCACACAGACACGCTTATGGTAGATACCTAATGAAGCCAACTCCCGCAAGAGTTTTGTGAGTCTTGCATTACAAGTTTTCGTTCCCTTGAGCACCAGCTCTTGGAGCCAGCTGTTTACATATGGATTTCAGCTTCCATTTTTAACCTGTTTCCAACCTGTTTGCTTGTGCAGGGAAGTTTCAAAAGGGGAATGGTTTGAGAAAACTTGCAGGAAGCAAACCAAAAATAAACCAGTATTTAATTGAACATCTTGGGATTTTTAAGGCAGCATGCTATGCTTTTTAATGCCTGACTTGCTAATGGATAGGGACAATGTAACAAATGTAAATCTTGAGGTTTAGTAGCGGGTTTTCAGACTGACGTGAAGCAAATTTATCCCTGTCCCCTAGAAGTCCCTGATCCCCTGGATTTTGGGTGCCAAATTGTTTGCCTGCCTATTGTCTGTTCCTGCTTCTAAAGCAGAGAAGGAATGAATGGCTGAGGCACAGCTGGAGCAGTGGAGTGTATTGATACTTCCGCACCTATTAAGGTAGATCTTCTTTACTTCCCTTGCTCTTCTGGGAACAATCAAAACCAAGTTTCCCTAGCTTTCCCTAGATTTAATTGCAGCAGGAAAAATAAGTAAAGGTTATTACAACACGTGCCATGCCTTTTTTCCAAGGGCACACACATCAATAAATTAGTTTTACTGGGAAGGCAGTGCAAGAGTTTTTAGCAGGTTAGACACAGTTCAGATGTCCTTATTTATTTACAGTGAAATGTATACTCATGCACAGAGAAACTCAGCTAAAAGAACAATATGGTTGTGAGCCAAATGCTAAAATGTTAGCAAATGCCAGAATTTGGATTGCCTGGGCACGATTAGCTCCTTCCCTCTCCCCACGTGTAGGCATGATGACATCATTTTGGAATTTCCTCCCTCGAGTGCTTGGCCTCATTTTCTGGGTGCTCAACAAGAGACACCTGGGGCCTGAAATGCAGAAGTGCTGAGAGCTGAAGTCAACTGGGACTGTGCTTTGAGTGGAGAAAGTGCTAGGGAAATGCTACGCATGCGAAAGCTCCCACATCTCTCAGCTTTCGCTGAACGTTGTCGTTCTGACATTTTTGTCCTTTTTCTCCCTGTGCTTCAGTGTTTTTGCATGATGGCAATAATATTGTGAAGATAATAGTATTCTCACCCTGCGCAGATGTGTTGCAGAGATACGTTCATCAGGATTTGGGGCATATTAAGATGCTGTTATGGGAGCACCAGAGAAACAAAAGCTTGGAAGGGGATTAATGTTTTCTGTGTCCAGTGTAACGCTTAGACCATGTGCATTAACATGAGATCTGAGGCCAGAGCACCAGAAAAAGATGATGGAAGAAGAGAAAAACCAGAAGGTTAAAAAACTGACTCCTCATTGACTGGCTGAAACAAGAATCTGTTAAGGAAAAAAACCCTACGCGTTATCATGTAATTAAAACTGTATCATCATACATATTCAAAAGGGCTAATTAAGAATGCCCAGGAAACCTGCATTCTGGAATATCCAATGTTGCTTGGCTTTGCAACCTGAATGTTTGTCTTTTTTTTTTTTATATTGTGCACTATTTAATGCCAATGTATGCATACTTACACATGTTCACAGTACATAAATTTGCTATTGTGCCTAAGTATGGTTATGCATTTGTACATTTGACTGTGCACATACACATACAGTACAGAATAATGGGAAATGCTTCGGCATTCATTTTCCTGTGTTTTATTTGAATGTGAAAAAGATAACATTTATTGTACATTTATTGGAGAATCTGTGAGCACCTACAGGGTTATTTGTTTCCATATGTGCCTACTCAGATTGGATGTGCCATCGCAGTAATTGTTCAGGGAGATGAAGACACTTCTGTAGTTCCTGAACACAAATAGCCTTTCCCTATTTAAGAGCATACCTGACATTGGGAAGTTTAGAGAAATAACTTTTTAATTGCTTACATCACAGTCGTAGGAGTCTTCTAGTCACATTTGGCAAACACAGAGTTGCTACTAGCACCAATAGTGTTACACCCTGTTCAGAAGATCTAAATCAGAACCCAAATGTCTATTAAAGGAACCACATGAAAAAGAGCGAGTAACGAAGTGTATAGCTGCTGTGTAACACTTCTCCTTTGTAGATCTCAAAGGATTTTGCAAGGAGGCCAGTTTTATTATGCCCATTTACCACACAGAAGCTGACAGATAGACCCACTCACTATAGATCACTCAGTAGACCAGCAGCTGAGTGAAGAATAGAGGGTTGGCTTCAGAGTTTCAGCCTAGAGTCCTGCCTTTTACTGTAAATAAACAATTCCTCAGTGGAAATGATCACTAAATGCTTAGGTTAAAGATGTTTGTCCACTGAAGCTGGTGGAACCATTTGTGGGATTAACATAGACTGACATAGCTGAACCAAATACCGTTCCTTCTTAACTCAGAGATCGATGACTGTCCAGTCTCTAGGAGGTGGCCAATCAGTCCTAACAGTGCTTTGTTTAACATGATGAAGTAAAAGCAGAGCAATTCTTCTCAGCTTGAACTTAGCTTTGAACACTCCTGCTTCTGTTCCAGACCAGAAGTGGTCTTGTCTGTCTAAAAGCTTGCCTGTTTTTTCCGACTACAGAAGTTGCTCTAATAAAAATGTATGATCTCTCCCTACAAACCTGGTTTTGTTTAATCTGCATGTAAACTACTAATATT